TCATTTAATTACTCATGTTGAAATTAAACAATTTTTTTTCATTGTAGAAGGACAGTGTTTTAGCTACATTATGGGTTAAAGAGGCTTTGGAGAACTAGTCTGGAAATCTCATCACCATTTATAACGTTGTTTTTTATACGGAAAGTAGACTCCAAAATCTAAACAGCCAAATTACAAATGAACTTGCAGAACCCAACCCATTTGTTAGGGGAACTATCTGTTGTGCTAAAAATAACTTGGGGAAATAAACACCAAAATAGAAAAACTTCATGCACCTCACTATTTGTTACCATCAATCCCATGGAGTTGGCTTCATGCCAGCAAGGGGAATGTCATTCAAACCCAGACTGACCCGTCCCTGTTCCACTCACTCCATCTCACTGGCCTGAGCCCTCTCTCCCAAGGCACATGCCACCAAGGGACACTGCAGAAGTCCTTGCCAAGAGGAGCTGATAGAGTGTAGCAGATTACCGATTGGTTTCACCACTCCATTCGCTGCCGTAAAAGAAAGGGTTTAGGAGAATTCCATGTGCTACTTGGGCTGTAGTCTCAACCAGTTGAGATGCATGTTGATGCATCTGTGTTGATGCATGCTGTGAATTTGCCTCTCTAGAACCCATCAGCCAGAAACCCCATTTTTCTCTGGTAAATAAAGAGCCCTGAGAACTCAGCAAAGCGTGGGGGCAGCACATCTGTACTCACTCAGAGACTGCTGCTGCGCACCTGTCTGTTGATGGGAGGAGAATTCCTGCTTTCCCAGGAGAAGGTGGCTGAATACCTCACACCCCTCTAGCACCGTGCAAAGGGCACTGGGGAAGGAGCAAGGTGCAGGTGCTGGCCAGTGACCGAACTGTTGGCTGCTGTCTGCCACAAGCCCTTAGGAATACCCTCCTGTTGGCCATCTAGACCTGCTCCTGATGCTCAAGTGTCTCAGGTTAAATTTGCTGTCCCCTACTCCTACCCTCTTTGTCCTCAGAGAGCCACCGGTAGGCTCCATTTCCCACTGACTGTGATGAGTGGGCCTGCACCTCCCACTCCAGAAGGGTCCTTCCTTGGTCAGGAGTGGACTTTCCAGCTCTCCCAGTCCATGGCCAGCCCTGGGCAGCTCCCCTGATGTCTCCATGGTCATCCCTGCAGTCCTAGAACAGCATCTGTCTTGAGATGACTCCAGAGAAGCTTCTCTGGCAGAACATGGGGACCCTCTAAGCACAGAGTCACCTTTTTTCCAGATTAAGCCAACTCAGGGCCAGACTGACATTGAACATGATCCAGATTCTTGACGTACTAGTTAAAGAATCCCTGCTGTGAGTCAGAAGCAGCCCTCCGCTGGCAGTTGGTACAGGGTAGGCCTGGGGAGGTGAGTTGAGCTCTCAGTGGGGGAGCAGAGCTAGAGAATGGGCCAGACCTATGAAGCCACCTTCATGCCTATGGCAGGTGTTGCTGGCTATCTGCCCAGGTCCATTCTCTCCCTCTTCCTTCCTCTTGGAACTCCTTTTCTGTTCAAGTATCTACCAGCTCCCGGGCCTCTGTTTCTGTCCCCCATCCCTGTGTGGACCTGAGCCATGAGTTCACTGGGGAGCTTCACCCCCGTTCGCACCCTGGTCAAGCCACAATTCCCCAAACATGTGAGGACCTCTCAGGCCCCGGGGCCTTTGTACTCACTACTCCCTTTTCCTAAAATTTGCATTCCCTTTCTCATCTATCCAGGAAAAAAAAATCCTATTCATCCAACACTTGACAGCCCAAACATTACCTGATCTTTGGTGGGAAAAATTTTTCTTTGCTATTATTTCTCTTATTCCAATAACACTTCCATTTATGTCTCTACTATGAAAACTATGTTAAACAATTATTCGTTTGTCTCCTTACTAGGCAGTGAATTCCATATGAATAAGCACCAAGTGATGCCCAGCTTACAGAGGTTCTCCATACCTGTTTGAGGACAGAATGAATGATTTCGTTCAGATGAATATTTCGTTATTCACTTAGCTGCTTCTGTTGGGTTAGGGAAGATGGATGCTTTTGACATCATCTTTACCTGCCTGCGACTGAGGGAACAGGTGGAGAGCTGCCAAGTGAGGCATTGCTGGGGCTGCCCGGGGTGAGGATGACGGAGACAGAGCCCACAGGGTGAGCCTGAGTGGAGCCCCGTTGGGCTCACTGTTGGGACCTGGGTCTAGATAACAACACGTGAGGTTGGCAGGACAGATTTTTATATCACCAAAGCCTTTGATATATTTAGGCCCTAGACCCCTTCCCATAGCATTTGGGGTCTTGGTATCACAAACTTATCCTTCAAAGATCTGGATTTTCTCCAGATTTTTCTCCAACTTGCCTATGAGCATCTCTGCAGCTTTTTGCTTGCGTTGATTTTATTTAAGGTGCACATGCAGTCATCACAAAGCACCTTGTCAACACTCCCTTCTTGAACCCCTGGTGCCATTATTTTTACTCCCCTTGTTTGAAAGATGAGATGCAGTACCTTACCCAGAACCACCCAGCAGGGTTGGCTGCACCCCTGGGCAGTCTTGTTCCAGCACCCAGGGGTATATAGCTCTGTGAAGACCTAGTCCAGAACAGTCCTGGGGAAAACCTATTGAATGAGCAATGAACAAACTTTCAATAGCCACCCCCCCCCATGCTGGTGACATCACCTAAGGGCACAGTTACAGCCTTCCCCACACCCATCAGCAGTGTGAAACAACCGCACACGTGAGAACCAAAAGGTGTGTGGTACACAATCGCAGCACAACTTTTCATTTCTCTGGTTGTGATGTAGCGTCGCGCCCTATGTGCCGTCACACATATACCTAGGGTGATAATGTCCATCTCATTCCACCATGTCTCCTGTGCATCCTGTACAGGAGATTATAATTATTTATTAATTAATAAATAATTATTTTTTTTAAAAAAAAAGATGTGATAGGACATGGTCCCGCCCCCACCTCCTAGATACCGGCTACAGGTCTCCTGGCCGATAACTTTTTTCCTTAAAAGACAACCTTTGTGGAGCGGCACAGACACTGCTCAGGTGCAGGATGCCTGGGAGCGCTGAGCTGGGGCCTCAACCCCTCTTCTTCTTGAGGGCCTCTTCTTTTGCTCCAAGACATAGTGCAGGGCTGACCACTGAGCTTTAGCAGCTGCTTTCACCTGCTTTGACCTGGTTCCGTCCCAAGGGCAGCCTAAGTGACCCAAACTTACCACAGGTATTGCCAGGGTGGCTTGGACCCACCCATCTCCAGGGAGCAGCTCCCTCTTGTTTGTCTCTGAGCCATTCTCAGTGGGTTGACGCCTGCGCTGGGAAGTGGGGGTGTCAGGTCAGAGCTCCTCCCGTTTCCTGCCATCTCCCCTGTGAGCTCTGCACTGCTTGGGGGCAGCTGGAAGAAGGAGCACTGTGGTTCTGGCTTTTATGTCCACACACCCCCTTCCTAGGGGCGTGTCTTCCTGGGTTTCCTGTGAGGTGGAGGCCTTATTTGAAGAGGTTACTTAGGGTGGCAAACTGGAGATTGAGGTTCAGGGCCCATTTGCACACCACACCTGCTGAGCCACCTGAAGGGTGAACACATAAGTCCTCTCAGACTCATGTCCTTGACCTATCAGCTGGACGTGAGAATGCCCGCCTGTCCTGGGTCTTGTGAAGCATGAAGCAGGAGCACTCTGTAGCCATAACTGCCCTGACCCATGGAGGCGGACTGGAGACTCAAGACTACCAGAGGCTTGGGCAGCCATGGGAACTTATTGCTTAATGGGTAGAGTTTCTGTTTGGCGTGATGAACCAGCCTTGGAAATAGAAGTGATGGTCACACGACACGTTGAATGTAATGCATGCCACCGACTTGTATGCTTAAAAATGGTGAAAATGGCAGACTTATAGGCTCTGTATATTTTACCATGGTGAAAAAATTAGAAATCAAACATAAATTTAAAAATAAATGCTCTGCTATGGAAAGAAAGAGAAGGAATATCTGTGTAAATTCAAGGAGAGTTGACACATCAAGAAAATTCCTGTTAAAAGAAAAGGCAGTGCCAGTCACAGGAGCAAGAACGGAGGCCAGCCAAATAATGGCACTTCACACGGACCAACATGTGCTTGATGGGAATGTGGGGGAAAATGACGAATGGCCCTGTCCCAGGAAGGCACTCTGGGTACCTGTGGGATTAGTGTCGCTGAGGGAGGAAGCCCCAACAGAATTCCTTAGGTAGCAGACAGCGGAGAAAGGCTCTGCCATTTGTCCCTCCCCTTGTGACAGCAGCTCCACAAGGCACTAGGCCACCTAGGCCTATGGTCCTGCCAAACACAGTGAGAAGCTCAGCCCTGAGCAGGAGGGTTCTGGTGAATGCTGAGGCCACTGGGGACTGTGTCTGTGGTCATTTCTTTAACACCCCCAAGAGCTGGGCTGTGTGCACCAGCACCCCCCCCCCCGGGAACTCTGAAGCTAGAACTGTGGGTCTCCCTGCCAAGGGAGCCTGGGAACCCCATGCCCTCAGCAGCCATCATAGCCAACAAGTTAGGACTGCCATCCAGCCAGGACCCTAGATGTCTGCAGGTTTGCCACCAGCATCATGGCTCTCGTCATCATTGAAACTAGTGATTACTGAATGCTCAGCAAGAGGCAGCCCCAGTTCTAAGTATTTTTACCTGCTAACCCACTTCATCCTCATATAATCCCCAGGAGGTGACACGACATCCAGCAAAGGGCTGTCTAGCTCTGGAGTTGGGCTTGGGACCTCTTCAGGGTGATGCTGGAAATGTGGGGGATGAGGCCTGCCTAGTTTGGGCTGGAGACTGCCTTTGCTTTGGAGTCCGGTCAGATTCTGAGAAAGCAATGGAGGAAGACACACTGTGGTCCAGGGATCCTGCCCACCACCCTAGGACCCCTGACCCCAGTCAGGAGCACCTGGCAGAGGACCCACTCCTGTGCCACCACTACCTCTTCCATCAGAAATATGCTGAGGGTGTGATTTTATCCCCTCACAATATTAGGCTGAGGAGATGATATTGGGCAAAATATATTGTACCAATATTTCATATTAATGGAAATTCAATAGTGGCAACTTGTCATCTGCTGAGATTAGAAGGGAATATTGTGAATATTGTGTTACAAAGGCATTAAAGAGACATTATGAATTAGATTTCTTTGTACCACATCGTGTTCCTTGTAAATAATTGAGGAAGAAGCTGGTGCTCAGGGTTTGGGATTATCCATTTTTGAGATTGCAGCAGTCCGCTCACCGGACTCATGGGCCCTGTAGACCTGACGTGGCCAGGGGAAGGTCCGCACCTGGCAGGTCTGGAGGCTCCACAAGCATTATGCTTCCTCCTGCCGAAATCAGTAACTGCCACATCAACACTAGACTATGATTTTCTTGCAAAACCTTCCCAAGTCTAGCTATTCTGTGTCCCTCACCTCCCACCCCTGGAACCTCACTTCACAGCTGGAGCCCAGGCAGGCTCTGGTGGCACCACCGGGTGGCAGCAGCCTTCCCAGCACTGCTTGCACCACTCACCTCTGATCCCCTGGGGGGCAAAGACTTGAGCACCAGCAAACCCAGGATCAAGCACAGCAGCCTGTCCCTGGCACAAGAGCCCTGGCTAGATGACACTCAGCTTCAGCTGGGCTTCTCAGCCCTAATGTCCTGTCCTGAAGGGCTCTGTCACCTGGTGCTGGGTGTTGAGCTCCTCTAGGCTGCAGGATGGAGGATTCGCAGGATGGCCTGCTGTGGTTCCTTCCTGTAGTGCAGACACTGTGGTCACCACATGGCCCCTGCAAAAGACAAACAGAGTTTCCTGGCTGGAGCCAGGTCCTGTCTCCTGTTACAAATTCAAGAACTCGGCTTGGAGCAAAGGAATGGCTGCCCGCAAGGAAAATCTGAAAGGAAAGCAGGGGAAGAAGCACTGAGTAACCGCCCATCCTGCAGGTTCAGGCAGAACAGGGCAACCCACCTCCTGTCTCTGGCTTTGACCGTTCAGAATCCCCTCCATATCTGACCCTGCCCCTCTAAGGACTCTGCAAGCTGAAGAAATGCTCCTGTGACCAGGGCCAACTTCAGGGACCGCTCTGAAGGAACTGGTCGTTGGTAATTGGCACGATTCTCCCTTGTCACTTGGCTGTGTCTGTTCAGGATTTCCCATTGACTTCTGTCCTATGGCATGCCTGAGGGCGACAAGACAAGAGGCCACTGGGGTCGGAGAGGCAGGCAGAAGTTTCTTCACATGCAGGGTGAAACCATCAGTCGGCTAGTCGGCCACATTAACCCATCCCAGCTGGGTACTCAGTGCACACCAGACTCAGGAGTACTTAGCACACTCCTTTGCCAGCGCAGTGATGGGACTAGGAGCCCAGACTAATCGGACGACCCAGATTTAATTCTGACTCTTCCACTTTCTAGCTGTGTGATCTCTACCAAGTTACTTACCCCCTCTTCTATAAAATGGGATAATAATGCCATGTATTTCATTGAGTCATGGAGGAGATTAGATGAATTAACAATGCAAAGCACTTACAGTGACACGTGACATCTAGGATGTACTCCGGGAGCGTGATCTGCTGTTACTTTGACCATGACCTTCATCGCGTGGCCTTCTTCTCTCTACTTGTCTGTCTTCTCCCTGGAATGTGGCCCTTGAGACAAAAGACCTTGTCTTCTTAGGTTTTAAACTGCTAGCACCTCACACTTGCCTGTTATATGTTCAGTAAATATGTGTTGAATTATCAAATTGAATTGTGGGTAGAAGGTGTAGTCATGGAAATCCACTAAAAACTAGCTGTGCGCTGTTGAAAATCACAATCCGCTTTGCCACGGTGGTGTATTCTCATTTCAGAGCAGCTCTGTGGCTGCCTCTTGTTCTCCGTGTGGCATCTCAGTGACAGTAGTCAACTGTCTACAAACAAATTAGATGTATATTGAAATGCATGTAGCACCTCACTGATTAAAGGAATCCCAAAGTAAGGCGTTTTGCAAAGCACTAGCTACGCTTGCATGAAATGAGAAATCACCTACTCCATCTCTCGATCCCAAACCCAGAGCCCAAGCCCTGAATAGTCCTGGGCTCCGACCCACATTCTGTTTATTGGCGGCTGTGGTTATAGTTGTGTTTTTATTGTCCTTTTCTTGTTTTGTTTTGTAAACCATTTATGGAGGACCAGGCACTGTGCCAAGAGCTTTACACATTTTGTCTGAGTTCTTTCAACAACTCCATGTGGTGAGCCGACATTGTCCCCATTTACACATGAGGAAAGTGAGTCCCCGTGTACTTTGGAGAAGGTCGCTCAAACTCTAGCTCCTAAGTGGCAGGAAATGAGATCTGAACTCAGAATCATTCCTTCCAAGTCCACGCCTCTAGCTCCCAATTCTCTTCCCTGGACGTCTGCCCTTATATATCCGCCGGGCGCTTGCAATGCGAAAGGCCAGAACCAAGCTCTGTAGCCTCAGCCCCAAACCTGCTGCTCACCCTGCATGCCCGGCTCAGGGGCCAGGCCACCAGCTGTGCCCACCAGAAGATGCTGCCCACCTGGACTCTTCCCTCTCCCTCACATCCTCCTCACAGCCTGTCTGTATCCAAGGTCCACCTGCAGGTGTTTCTGGAGTCAATCCTTTTTCCCTCCATTTCTCCTTCTGCCACAGTCCAGGCCCCCATTGTATCTCACCTAGGAACAGAGACAGCCTCCCTGCCCAAGTTTCCCCCCCACACCCAACAATCTGCTCACTCTCTGACTTCAAAACAATTATTTTAAAAAATAAACATATAGGTCATTCCATATTTGCCCTGAAGATGGAGTGACTCAAGGCCCTTGGTGATCCCACCTCCACGGACCTTATCTCTCACTTCTGCCCTCCCTCCCCCTCTTGTCCTGCATTCTGGCCACACCCAGTCTGACACAGGTGAGTCCAGCTGGAGCAGGTGTGTGGCCCTGGGGTACTGTGCAAGGCAGAACATGGCTTGGAAAGAACACAGGCCTTCAAAACAGGCACCTGGGGTTTACATCCTTGGCATTCTGTGGCTTCATTTTCCTTATCTGTAAAATGGGGACAGCAACAATACTATCTCACGGGAGTTAAATATGAATTAAGGAAATTCGGGGGGGGGGGCGGAATCTAGTGCAGTATTGGGCAAACAGTAAGAGCTCAATAAGCTCTGGTGTTGGTGGCAACAGTATATGAAATACAAGTTTTGATGTGGACTCATATCTTAGAAAACAGAAGGCATAAGCATTTGAGCAATGACAACTCTGGTTTCTTCCCTGGGTGTCAGACACCTCCTGCATTGTGGCCCTGCCAGCATCAGCTCTGGCCTTTTAGGGCGCATGGCTGGTCCTTCCTTCTAGTCCCCACCACCCTGAGCACACCCCTCTCTCCACCACCTTGCAGAGTCTGGGTTCTCTTTTATTTAGTCATTCAACGAATATTCATACTTTGTTGATTTAGAAAGTCCCCTCTGGTTTGGGTTGCGATTCTGTGACCCTGTTGATGATGAAGGATACACACCCAGACCTGGGCAGTGGCTGTGCATGTGCCTCATGCTGGGCCCACACGTGTAGGGCTGCGCTGTGGTGCCAGCAGACCCGTGGGGCTGCTTCCTAGTGCCAGTACTTGCCTTCTGAGCTCCAACTTTAAAATGCTCCTAAGTAGGTTGAGTCCTGATTACCTTCAGGGAAGCGTGTCCTTCACCCTCCTCCAGCCTCCTCCAGCCTCCTCCAGCCCTCTGGCTGCTGCCCTGGTGCCAGGCCAGGGCAAAGGAACCAGAGCCTCGCTCAGCGGGAGCTCACTTGCTCCAGCCTCTGCCTCCAGTGCCTCCTTCGCCAGGAGCTTGCCGGTCGGAGCAGGCCACAAAACAAGGAAGAAAAATCTTTTTAGACTGGAAAAATAGGGCTGCCGCTGTTTTATGGTGGGGTGGTTTATGGTTTTCAAACATTTTAATTAGTTTCATTTTTTAATACAAATGCACCCTGATGTTTTGTGCAGGAAGGGCACCGTTCTTAAAAGCTCAGAAATAAAGTAGGAAAATGACAGATGGCCTATTAAAGCGTCACGTTCAGATGTGTTATTATTATTATTGTTATTTAACATTTCTAAGCTCCAGCACTTTGCCAGGAGTGGGGTGGTGGTGAGAGGGCCCAAGGTCCCTATAGCTCAGGGAGATGGCGTGAAGGGGAAGAAGGGGTGCTTTGAGGATTGGCCTGCATTTCCTGCCCCCGGGGGAATCAGGATGCCAGTCACCTGGTCTGTAGACTGAAGGTACAATGGATGGTCTAGGCTCTGTGCTCCAACCCCGCCCTTGACTGGCCCAGGAACTTGGGAGGTTTCCCAGCTCCCCCATGCCCCCCAGGTAGGAATTCAAGCTATGTTTTAGAATAGGCCACTTCCACAGGAATCACTCTTCTTTGAAACATTCTGTTTTAGTTAAATTTTTCACTGCTGGGACCAAAAGACCCAAGAACAATTTTAGAGGAGGAAAAGTTTACTTGGGGCTCACAGTTCCAGAGCTCTTGGTTTTTACTTATTACTCAGATGACAATTGTTTTGCTTTATGTCTGAGGTGAGGCAGAACATCAGGGCAGAAGGTGCAGAATAGCCACCAGGAAGCAGAGAGAGACTAGGCTTGACTCACCAGGGACAGAATGTATACCCCCAAAGGCACAGCCCAGTGACCCGCCTCCTCCAGCCACACCCTACCTGCCTACAGTCTCACCCTGTTAATCCCTGTCATCGGATCAGTGCACTGATTAGGGTAAAGCTCTCATAACCCAATCATTTCACCTCTAAACCGTCTTGCATTGTCTACACACATGAGCTTTTGGGGGACACTTCACATCGAAACCATTGCACATTCCAGTCAATGAGGCAGCAGGGTTTTACTCTGGGGGTACTCTCCATGTGGTAGGATAATAGTAACCCGCCCCACACACACACACATACAAACCCCACCCTGGCCATATACATCCACCTGGGATCTCTAAATATGACCTCGTTTGGAAATAGGGTCTTGATAGATATAATTAAGATAACGCTGGAGATGAAATTGTCCTGAGTTGGGATGGGGCCTAGGGTGGGGTGAGGGTCTTTATTAGAGAAAGGTGACAGAGTTCCATAGACACACAGAGAAGAGTACACGTGAAGAGTCAGGGACTGGGTGGTGCCATAAGCCAAGGAGAGAGTGGCACCAGAAGCTGCCAGAGGCAGGGGAGGGTTGTTCCGAAGGGACTTTGGAGAAACGCCACCTGGACAACACCTTGGTTTTATACCTCTGGTCACGGGGGCACACCTGTCCCCTCAGAACACGAAGGGGCATCATCTCCATGCTTGGCGACCACAGAGACCCTCCGCACGCCCTCATTTAAAGGGAGCCCACTGTGGGCCTCTTGTTTTGCTAGAGGAAGAAGATGAGGAGGATGTTCTCTACTGGTTTTTCCCCTCAAAGAAGACCCTCGAGGGAACTCTAAGAACCAGGAAGGAAATTTCTTTTTTTTTTTAATTGATTTTATATTTTTAAATACATGACAGCAGAATGCATTACAATTCTTATTACACATATAGAGCACAATTTTTCATATCTTTATATATAAAGTATGTTCATGCCAATTCATATCTTTATACATGTACTTTTTTCACATTACGGTTCTTATTTCTCATATATACCACAATTCTTCATATCTCAAGAAATTCCTTAAATCAAAACACCACACAGGCCCAACAAAAGCTCTCTGCACTGGCCCCGCCCCTCTTCTCACCGTCATTCATTCAGAAGAAAATTCTCTTGGCTGCCATCTGTGCTCTTCTCTGTCTCATTGGAGCTGAAAGAGGGAAGATGTGTCCCATCTATGGACTCGGTCACTCTTCCTCCTCCAGGACTGTGCTTGGCGGGCTCATTTGCAGCAGGTCATTTCAGAGTTACCAGAACAACTCCCGTGGTCCAGGGCAGGGCCTCCTCTGCGGGCAGAAGGCCTCAGCACACCCACACACCCGCCAACAGGAAACTGTACCCAAATGTCAGCAGGGCCTTGGAGCCTATTTCAGAAGCCCAGGGATCCCAGGCCGACTCTGTGGGCCTTCCAGGTCTGCGCCGTTTTTCCCCAGCGCTCCCTGGAGGCTGGGCATGAACTTAGCCTGCAGCCCACTTGTTTACCCAGCTGCTGCTGCTGCAGCCCAGCCCCATCCTGGGGCAGGCCTCAGCACTGCTCAAAGGATATTTACTCTTTGAGCACTCGAGGACTGGTAGCAACACTGTGTACCGTTCCCCTGGAGAAAGACACCCGCTCCCGGGTTTGCCCTCTGGGGTTTAGAATGTAGGAACACAGGGTGTAGGGACAGCTACACTTGGAAAGCACTGGCCCTGCCCAAGATCATGCTGGTCATTTACATCCTGGAAATGATTTAACCACTTGGATTTCATTTCTTTGGAGGAATATGTGAACAGTTTGAGCCCCATGTGGCCTTTGGCTACATTGTCACCCTAAACTGGCCATGCTAGAGGGCGTCCTCAGGTTTACTCTGAGCACAGAGGCAGGGTGGCAGGGATCACCAAGGAGGGCAAAGTCAGAAGGCAGCAGCTTTGGTCTAAAGTTACACTCAGCCTGGGAAACAAGGAGATTAAGCAGCAGACGTTGTCTGTGGTACCAGGCCCCATCAAGGAAGCCACGTTGAGGGGGACACACGCCCAGAGGACGCTGAGCAAGCCCTCAGCGGAGACTAAAGGGAGGAAAGAAGGAACGGGCTGGATCCTTCTAACGGGCAAGTGGCTGCTTGGGGAGGCGACCTGTGGAGGTCAGGGCGGTTCTCCCGAGAGTTCTGCAATATGGCAGCTGAAATCGGTATAAGAAAGGAGAGAGATG